TCTCAAGTTCCCAATGTTCAGGACCTTCCCAGTAAGTCGGTGGCCCTCTACCTCCCTGGCATTTTTTGGGCAAGCAGTCATTCATCCTGCCTTTGACTTAGGGAGATGTCACCACCCCCAGGAGTTCTGTTTCTAGGGACAGGGACTCTGTCACAAGAGGCTCCTGGGAGGCTATGTCAGGCCCCCCTGGATCCTGTGACCTCCTCCTGTTCCCTACTTCCCCTGTGGTATCTTCATAAATGGCACTGCCATTATGAGACATCCTTGGAAGCCTGGACGGGGCTGCTTGGAGACAACCAGGCAACAGAGCTGGATTATTTAGGGGAGAGAATGGGTGGGAGGGAACGGGTGACAGCGGTTTATTCAGGGATGGATGGTCTCTCTGCTGCAGGGGCGTGGCCCCTCCCTGTGCCCATTATTCCCAGTGTCCAGAGCCTGGGGATTCTCACTGAGGCCCAGCAGAAAGCCACTTGGAATCCTGCCTCACGGCAGCAGGGGCCAGGCAATTTTGCATGTTCTGAAGGGGTTTGGAATAAGTTCTGGCTAGGGAACACTGGAGGGGAGGAGGGTGAATCACATGTCAGAGAACCCTCTAGTGCTGAGGATAACCACAACTATTTTTCTGTTCAGAACTTCACCTGGGGTCCCTGTTGATTAAGGGATTTATATTTGCTTAATCTCAGAATGATACCAGGGTAGGTATGGCTCCTTTATAGATGTGGAAATGGTAACTCAGAGAAAGGGCAGAAACAGACTGAAAACTCAGATCTGTTTCGGGCAGACGACTCAACAAACCACCCCCACATTGCTGGAGCCGGCAGGGTCGTTGCAAGCATCTACTTCAGCCCAAGCTGGCCTTGGAAGCTGGGTATCCTTGCTTGATGCAGGGCCATTCTTCTTGCTTTTCCATGCATGACTCAGGTCCCATCCCTCGCTTGCAGGCACAAAATGCTTAGAGATGACCAATCAGCTTGTTGGTCTCTCCCACAGGTGCTCAGGGCTAGGCAGGGAGAAGGTTCTTGAGGAACCATGCTGTAGGGCCAACATGGCGGGAGCTGTAGGCTCCATCCTCAGTACCGAATAAACAGGTGTGGTGACACTCACCTGTAATTTTAGCAATCTGGAAGAAGATGCTAGAGAATCTGGGCTTCAACGGCACCCTCAGCAATACAGGGACTTGGAGACAGCCAGACCCTGTCTCAAAAACAAAAGCCTAACCAAAAAGAAAACAAAAAAGAAACACCCAGACGAAAGTATTTACTTTGGGTCTTGGTTTTAAGCATTCTGAGGGTTTGGGGGCTGTACCTCAGTAGTAGAGCCTTGCCTCACTCAAGGCCCTGGGCTCCAGCCCCAGCATCAAAAAAAGAAAAAAAATGCTTGAATTTAAACTTTGAATAATTTGAATTAGCCAGTGGGTTGTGGTGTGAGTGTAAATCCTGGTGATTCTAAGGCTGTCAGTTACCAGTACCTACCTAGTCTGGGGGATGTGCTTTGGTCTAGGGGATGTGCTTGGGTCCCACAGGCTTGCAGGGCCAGCATGCAGAGGAGTCCAAAGCCCCACAGATCTAGTGGGTGCACCAAGGTTGGAATCCAAGGGAGATCGTGCTGTGGGATGTCTTTCTGTACGCTGTGAATATGCATTGCTCTGATTGGTTGATAAATAAAGCTGCATTGGCCTATGGCAAGGCAGCTTAGAGGCAGGGGGGAAATCCAAGCAGATACAGGGAGAGAAGAAAGGAGAGGGGAGAGACGCCAGCCACTGCCAAAGGAGAAGCAAGATTCCAGCAGACTGGTAATGCCACGGCCATGTGGCAAAACATAGATTAATAGAAGTGGGTTAATTTAAGATGAAAGAGCTAGCTAGCGAGAAGCCTGCCATAGGCCACACAGTTTATAAATAATATTAAGCCTCTGAATGATTATTTTATAAGTGGCTATTGGACCATGGGGCTAGGTGGGGCCTCGGGGCTGGGTGGGACCGAATAAACCTTCCAGCTACAGGATCAGGCTTCTGAACTCAGCCAGGAGATGTCTTCTGCTCTGGCAGTTTCAGGGCTAGGTTCTCAGTGTGAGCTCTGGTGGCAATGAGAGTGACAGATGTCACCAGTAAGTGCTGGCACCCCTTTCATCCTCCAGGTGGTCCCAGGAAGCAAGAACTGCTGGAGACCTGTGGTGACTGGGAGGCGCATTAGTTAATGTGGAGGGTGAGCCCAAGACTCTCTCCAGGCCTGTGTCTTCCTGGTTCAAAGCCAGTGTCCTTTACACGTGGACTGTACACAGCAGAACTCAGTCAACTATGGGAGGGATCCTGAGACAGAGCAAAGGGCCTGCCGGGGTAGCCATAGCAGCCTGTGACTGTTTGGGTTGGGAGCCAGGTAACTGTCCCAGAGATCACCAAGCTTGGGGGGAGCCGCTGATACCTGCTCTGGAGTACTGTGACAGTACTGTGGTCACCAAGAGCAAGGACAGGTTGACTTCATCCTCTGTGTTCTATGTCTCCAGACTTACCAGGCCTGACAGGAGCTGAGAGGAGCAGTGGGGCCTGCTTCTTGTCCCTTGTCAAGTGTGATCTTTGGTTCGGACTCAGCACCTCTGCCTTCCGGACAGTCATTTGTGCCTGTCAGGAAATAACTTGTGGCTCGAGTGTTCCTAGGAGGGGAACTGGATTCCCACAGCTTCTGCCAAAGGCCTGGATTTGAGAGGGCTCTTTGAAGAGGACTGAAACCTGGCTAGGGTTGAGTGGTCCTGGGGCCCCACAAGCTATCCCCCCCCCCCAGATGCTTTTTGCAGCAGCATCTGGCTGACCATGTAACGGGGCAGGGTGCTTTGTGTGTTCTATATGCATCTTCATTCAGGTGCATGCACACACACACACACACACACACACACACACACACACACACACCCACATACACACTTGAGCACACATACGCACATGCACACACACACAGTCACCCCCCCCACATTCACATGCCCACATTTCCACTGAAGCCTTACACAGACACACAATTCCTTCTTCACATTCCTGCAGAGAAGCAGTACAAGCCTGGGCTGTGCACACACGCACACACATTCAACACAAACATCTGTACAGGGCACCCCACTCCTTAGGCCTTTCAAGGTCTTACATAGTGTCTTGTATGGGCTGCTGGGAGTGTGGGGGTGCATCCTGAACCCACTGCTTTCTCAGGTTCGGTTCTGTGACCCATGGGTCCTTTCTTAGGAGAGCCGGGCTTTGCCCTGAGCTTCCGGCTGGCATCGAAGAAGCTTCCGCAGCAGTTGAGAGGTTCTGGACTGGCCCAGCTGGAGGAGCCGCTTCTTGGTCCTTGATTTGTACTGAAGAGAGTACAACATGTCTGTCTGCTCATGGTGCCCTAGGCTGCTCTGTGGCTTCTCGCCCCATCTCAAGTGGGGTGACTCTGGTGTGTCACTGGTCCAAGTGGGGTGACTCTGGTCCTCCAGGCCTGACTTTAGCCCCAGCCCCATGGTCAGGGCTTCAGAGCTTTCTTCTCAGCACAGGGGCTTGGCTGGGGACTGGTAAGGCCTAAGGCTGGGCGTTGAGGCCTTCACGGTCTGTGGCCCATCCCTGAGACACCTCCAAGTCTCTAAGTCCCTGCTCCTGAGGCCTTTCCACCAAGCTGTGAGGTTGCCGGTTAGAGTCAGAAGGGCTGTGATTTCAGCTGTGTTTTTTTTCTTTTTCAGGCCTCCACACAGGGCTTCTCTTCTGGGTTCAACAAGAGCAGAGACCATGTGTGAGTGGTACATAGTCACTGCGTGGAGACGCGCCAGACACATGCTGGGGACCAAAGACAGGTCACACATGCTCTGACATCTCCAGGCACTGTCTCGAGAGGCAGACAGCCAAGGATCCAGTTTCTTCTGGACAGTGAGGGACACTGTGCATGTTTGTGTATGTACGCCCTTGTCTGTGTAGGTATGGGTGTTTGCACATACCTGGCTGTGGGGCTCTGGCTGTGGGGCTTTGGGGGGGGGTATACTGTCCTGAAACATGTTCTCAGGCCTGCGGGGGGGCACCATTTGGGACTTGGGGAGGTGTTGGAGCCCATTTTAGGTTTCCTGGTAGCTGTTCCCAGCAGGACTGCTTAAGAGGTTGACTGGATCATGGGGCCTGAGTATCGGGTGCTTTTAAGTGAAAGAAACTCACCTCATACACAAAGAGGGCCTCCTGAGACAGAAGCAGGGGTGAGCAGGTACACGTGGGAGACCGGAGGTCAAGGGTCAGGTAGCCTGCCCAGGTGCAGACCCAGAGCTCGCCAGAGCCACCTGGCCCACCATCACTTGGAGGCGTTTGAGTAGGGGCAGTGAGGATCCGCCTCTTCCAAAGACTGGGAGCTGCAGTTTTCTTAACCCAACCGTCAAGCTAACAACCTGCTCTTTAAGGGGCCCATCCTTGGACATCTGAAGAGGCTGAAGCCCAGAGACGTCAGTCCTCTAGCTCAAGTTGCACAGGAGAAAAGCAGATTCTGGAGCTCAGGTGTTCTGCTCAGTCTGGAGAAGCAGAGAGGGAAGCCAGGGGCTACCGATATCCCGGGGACCTGGAGTTGAGGAGGGGGTGTGGCGTCGCCAGCCTATGCCACTTTCTCCAGCCAAGGAGGCTGGAAGCCGGCCTTGGGTATCTTCCAGAAGGAGCGGAGCCGACAAGGGAAGAGGAACTGGCTTCGCGGGCAGTGTTTCCCGCCCCCGACTTTTTCTCCAGGCGCAGGGCGAGCGGACGGAGGAAGCTGGCCCGGAATGGGGCCCTCTGGGAATTGTGGCTGAGGCAGGGGGCATGCCTATCGGAACACGGTGGGGTGAGTGTGTCTTTACGTTCGCGCCCCCTCCTCGTAGGAAGAGGCCGAAGCTGCGGTGGGCAAGGCTGGGTAGGGAGTGACCAGTCCCGCCCGGGCGTAGAGGGCGGGAGGTGGGGGGGGCTCCGGACTCGGGGCGGGGCTCCGGGGATGATCCGGGGCTTGGTGGCCGCAAGCTGGTGGGGTCTGCACCGCCTGGACTCTGCGGGATCTGCCTCCGCCCCCGGATGGGCCGGGAGGGTGGGCGGAGCTAGCTGGAGCCCGCGCCGGGCGCGCCCGCAGCCCGCCTAGGCGCCGGCAGTCCCCGGCCGTAGAGCGCGACGCTCCCCCGGAGCTGCGGCTGCCAGGTAAGCACGCGTGGGCCGCGCCGAGGGCGGATCGGGGTTCCTTGACTTAGGGTGTGGAGGAGTCCGGGCCACCCAGGCCTGCCCCAGGCCGGCTCCACCGCGCTCTCCCAAAGCCCGAGCTGCTCCTGGGTCGTGCGCAGGTCGATCCCGGGTTCAGCTCCTGTACCCTGGCTTCCCTCGGAGCAGAGACAACGTGGGCTGGCAGTACCCGCTCCTCACTGCCGGCCTGGGAGTCCTCCTGGCCACCTGGGCTTCCGAAGAAGTTAGGAGACATAGCCGGGTCGCGATCCGTGCATGGGTCCCCCCTCCACTCCCACCAACAGGGCCCTTGAGGCCCAGGGACAGGAGAGCAAACCCAGGGGCCTGGCAGGCACAAGCTTTGATGCTCCGCTCTATTTGGTTTCTTCTGAGCCCGGATCTTTTTGGTGTGAGCAGGCGTGTGTGTGTTTGTGTGTGTGTGTGTGTGTGTGTGTGTGTATGTGTGTGTAGAGTGTGTGCATTCATGTGCCTGTGCGTGTGTTGTGTGTGTCCATCTGTCCTCTCACCAAGCTTCAGAGGACCCCCTGAAAGGACATGAGTCAGAAAAGGTACAGTGCATGGGAGACTGACTGCTCCGGCCTCTTGCAGTGGCCAGAGTGCTCTTATTTTGGAAATCAGACTCAATAAAAGCCGCCCGGTCCGGGCAAGCTTGAGGCATCTCTGCTCTGGCAGCCACATCCCCCGCCAGTCCTTGGCTGCCCACAGCCAGTGACAGAGCACCTGTGAGCTGTGGGCTCTGAGCCATACCCAGACAGTGTGGGAGGTGGGAGGACTTGGTAGGACTCTGTCCCCGTGTGGCTCTGCCCTGCAAGGGTAGACAAGACAGAAACACACAGCCAGTTCTCTGATAGGGAGTTTGATATCAGCCCTGGGCCGGTAGCAGTAGAAGAAAATGCCAAGAGGCTACTCCTGGGAATTACAAAACACCAGTGCTGCAAGGCTGGGGTGTCCTGAGACTTTGCACATAGATGTGTTTTCAGTGTCCCGGTGGGATCCGTCCCGCCCTCTTTGTTAGCATGACCAATCCAGTCGGGACCTCTTTCCACCTCAGGGGCAACAAGCGTTGGAGGACTGACTGGCAAGGACTTCCTGCTGCTGTGTGTCCACTACCCCCACCCCCACCCCTCCGATTTTGTTTGCTTTAGGGGGGCTCTAAGGACCCGTTTGTTTTCTCCAGTCAGATGGAGCACAAGTCTGGGGCTGCTGAGGTTTGAGCCAGCCCTATAGGAGGAAGCCCTGACTTCCTTTTTGAAGAGCCTCCATCGTGGGGGCCGGAGGGGAGGGTGGGAGGCATTGGCCAGACGCGGTTTCCTGTGGAGGCAGACAGGCCTGAGGTGGCCCACTCTGCTCCCTTCTCTGGTATTGGAGTGGACAGGGTGGGGTCCTGGGCAATCTGACCCTACCTGTGAGGCTCTGCAGTATCTGGCTCTGCTCTGTCCTTGTTGTTCCTGATAGGCGATTCTACAACACTTTGGGGGAGGTGGCAGTGTACCTGTGTCCAAGGCCTTGGGCGCTATTCTTCTTAGTGGGAGCTTCCCAGTCACCGGTGGGAGTGCCGTGTGGGCAGACCATGAGCTCATAGTCAGGTGTATAGCCATCTGGGCAGACAGACACAGGGAAGAACTGGACATATTTACCTGAAAACAGGCACAAAAGGGTGTGGGCAGGCAACCCAAGAGCATAGACACGTGAGGGGACAGGCGTGTGTGAGCACGAGCACGTCAAGGAGGACCAGCACAGACACACTTAAAGACAGGTTTGTGTCCCCGGGATTGCAGTCTGCCTGGGCCTGGAGCCGGTGTGTGAACGGACAGACAGGTGGACTCACCGAAGAACGGGCATGAATTTGAACGGGCATTTGTAGATACAAGACACTGAGTCTCAAGGTTCTCAAGTACCTAGGTAGACATAAAGCCAGCTGTGGACCCCCAGGGAAACACATATACTGGCCAGAGGCGCCTGCTAGTCAAGGCTAGGATCTTGATAGCTGCAGATGCTGAGACGCAGTCCCAGGTGAACGTTGCTGTGGATATGGCAGCCTAGCCAACCATCATCTTGTTCGGCGTGGAGGGGCAGGTTCTCAGGTGCTGTGTGGTATGCTTCCTTCCTTCCTCATGTATCCCAGGCTAGCTTTGAACTCACTGTGTAGCCAAGGATAGTCTTAAACTCCTGATCCTCCTGCCTCTACCTTCTAGATACTAAGGTTACAGGCATGCTTCGCTGCACCCAGTTTATAGGGTGCTGGGAATGGAACCCAGGGCCTCGTGCATGCTAGGCAAACACTTTACCAACTGAGACCCAGCCCCACTGTGGATTGATTTCTAGACCATGTTGGGGATGCTTGGAAGACTCCAGAGGGCTCAGTGTTCTGTTTTACTCTGAAGTCCTGTGACCTCCTGCCCCACTTAGTTACAGGGCTGAGTGTCTGGCCTGGGGCACCAGCAGAAACTTCTTAAGCCTTTGGTGGCATCCTTTGGTGTCCCCAGGATTTTTATGAACTTTCCCATTGCACTGTACGCTGCTTCAGCTGCTGCCTGCCCTAGAGTCTGGCTCGAGGCTTTTCTGCTGATCTTAACCCCTGAGCCTTCAGGGTGTTGTCTCTGTATACCACTGGGAGAGACGTGGAGGGTCTGGGATAAAAGCTATTGCCCTTTGGCTTCAACAGAGCAGACTCTCCCACGTTCTGGCTGTGCTCACGGCTCCTCTTTTCCCCAGCCTGGCACCTTGGAGCCAACCCTGACCCTGATACAGCCTGACACCAAACGCTCTTGTGACCTTCCACAGTTACTTCATGTCTCAGTTGCCTCATCTTTTACCCCAGCTCCCTGGAGGGTTAAATGGGGGACAATTCATGGAAAGCTAGTGACTTTGCATCTCTCAGTAGAGGTGCAACCAGGACGGCCAGAGACTCTTTGGCTTGGCTGGGAGCCTGGGCAAGTAGGGCATGGAGGCACGGGACACCTCTCTGTTGGAAGGGGCAGCCCACTCTCTCTCTGCCCATAGCCCCTCCTCATCCTGGGGTCCTCTGAAAAGGGTCAGGAAGTGGCAGGCTGGGCGTGTGGAAGCTTGGGCTTTCTGCCTGCTGGGCCTCTGGGAGGGGAGCCAGTGGTTCGCTAAGAATAGCCCCAAATCATGGTTCTGGCCTCCCGGTGGGCAGCATTGCCTCTCCCTGGCTCCGAGCAGGGGACTTGGAGACAGGCCTTTCATGTTTCCTGTGGCCAGCACGGCATAGGGATGGGCCTGGGAGCCGGGATTTGCAGGGAGCTGCGGGAGCTTGGCGGCAGCTGGCTCTGCCACTTTGCCCAGGCCTTTGTCTGGGAAAGAAGAAGTGAGTGAGTGAGCAACAGCCTTTGTCAGCCACAGATCTTCCCCCCCAGGGTGTCCCGATAGCCTCAGCCCCGACCATCTTCCCTCGACTTAAAGAATACCGATCTGTAGCACACTGTAGCAGAGTTCCTGTCCTGACTCTGTGACCCTCAGCAGCACACCAACATCTCTGTGCCTTATTTTCCTTATGTAACAGGGCAGGGAAAGGGATTCCCCTGTAAGAATGTCACGAGAACGTTAGGTGGGTGTGTACGGAGAAGGCTGGAGACTGTCTGGCTCACAGGATGTGTTAGGGAGACAATGGGTGCCGTAGCCATCACGATCACGTTTTCCAGCAGGGTGGCTGGGGACACCAGAAAGGCCAACGATTGTGCACCATGTTGAGTGGGGACAAGGACCGAATGTCATTTTGATTTGGAGTCTTCCCTGTGGGTTCCATCTGAAGTACAGAGGATCTATCGGTGGGGAACGAGGCTCCGTTGGTAAAGTTGGATCCCACGCAAACACAAGGATCTAAGTTCCGTCACTAAAATCCACTGAAGAGCTGGTTGCAGTCATGTGCATGCAGTGCTGGGGGAGTGGGGATGAGGATCCCTGGGGCGTGCTGGCCAGCCTGCCTAGCCAAACTGCTGAGAACCAGGTTCAGCGAGACACTGACTCAAAAAACGTACAATAGAGTGATTTAGGAAGACATCCTAAACGTCAACCTCCAGCCCTCACGCATGGCCACACATGTGCATGAACATGGGTGTGCGCACACAGAGGTGAAGTATCTTTCCAGAGGTGGTTTGGACTCTGATCACCTAGGAGCACACACCTGAATTATACCACACTCCACTGGGGCCCACCGTGTGCAGGTTATTGCCGCCCATGGTTGGAGCCGGACGGTACGGTTTCCCTGGGCAGTCAGTTGGTCACTAAGGTAGGTGCTGGACCTTTAAAACCTCCTGTGAGTATGTCTTGGCCTGACTCACCCAGGACCTGTCAGTAAGCTCAGGGTTCCAGATGCCCATGACAAAGGGCCGTCTCAGGACATCAGGTCTTGGGTTGCAGAGAAGTGTGGGGCAGGCCTCTCCTCTGTGGACTCTGATGGGCATCAGCTTGGGTGATGGTCCGGTTGTCTGCCCTGAACACATGTTCTCAATGGCAGAACGGATGGAAATGTTTTCTCTGTCTGCCTTTTAGAAATTACACACATGCAGGCAGTGGTAGCACACACCTTTGATCCCAGCACTCGGGAGGCAGAGGCAGGCAGATCTTTGTGAGTTTGAGGCCAGCCTGGTCTACGGAGCGAGTTCCAGGACAGCCAGGGCTACACAGAGAAACTCTGTCTTGAAAAACCCAAAACCAAATCCAGACCAAACAAACAAAACAAAACAAAAAGAAGAAAGAAAAGAAAAAAAGAAATTGTATGCATGCATGTGAATGCAGAATTCAGAAGTTAACCTCATGCCATTCCTTGGGCATCCTTCCTCAGGCAGGCACCACCCACCTTGTTTTTTTTCTTTTTTCTTTTCTTTTCTTTTTTTTTTTTTTTTTTTTTTTTTTTTAAGTTTTTCGAGTCAGGGTTTCTCTGTGTAGCTTTGCGCCTTTCCTGGAACTCACTCACTTGGTAGTCCAGGCTGGCCTCAAAC